TATCGTTTGGTGGCATTGCTAGGAGTAGATGTTCTGAAAATTCCCAGGTCACTGGTCATAGGTTGGTTCGTGAGTCCATTTACTCCTAGGAAGAGTAGATTCTTTGACAAATTACCCATGTGTGCTGTAGCTCATTAAGAATGCCAGAGATTTTTCTCATGTAAACCTCTGATGGAAGAAATAATTTACTCCAACTACAACAACATGATTGAGCAAGGCAGAAACTTTGTGTGTACGGTAGCTTTTGTTCTTCAGGCAATAAATAGGTAGATGTGAGATACCTTGGAAAAGTCCAATGCAGTTAAATTTTTCAGTCACCACAGACCTAAATGGTAGCAGGCAATATTAGTATTTATATCCCTGTTTCCTTTCGTTCCTTTTTTTTTGCTGGAAATGGAACTTCCGGAACTTGTGATGTTCTTTAGGACCACCTGTAGGAAACTGACTATTTTGAAACACGTTTTCCATGATCACTTTTGACTCTCTCTCTCTTTTTTTTTTCCTTTTCTTTTTGCTTTGTTTCACTTAGGGCAAGATGACCTCATTCAGCACCAAGATATGAGGATGTTGGAGCTCACCCCAGAACCGGACCGGCCTCGTATCCTCCCTCCTGATCAGCGACCTCCTGAACCGCCTGAACCACCACCAGTGACTGAAGAAGATCTGGATTATCGGACAGAAAACCAGCACGTACCCACCACCAGTTCTTCGTTAACTGACCCTCATGCCGGAGTGAAAGCCGCCCTGTTACAGCTGCTCGCTCAGCATCAGCCCCAGGATGATCCCAAAAGAGAAAGTGGTATGGATTACCAGGCAGGAGACACTTATGTGCCCACATCAGACTACAAGGACAATTTTGGATCCTCTTCTTTCTCTTCCGCTCCTTATGTTAGCAATGATGGTCTGGGAAGTAGCTCTGCTCCTCCACCATTGGAACGACGTAGCTTCATTGGAAACTCAGATATTCAGTCTTTGGATAACTACAGTACTTCTTCATCTCATTCTGGTGGTCCACCTCAGCCTTCTGCCTTTTCCGAGTCATTTCCCAGTTCAGTAGCTGGATACGGAGACATTTACCTCAATACTGGTCCCATGTTGTTCAGTGGAGACAAGGACCATAGATTTGAATATAGCCATGGCCCCATTGCAGTCCTGGCGAACAGCAGTGACCCTCCCACAGGGCCAGAGAGTACTCATCCTTTGCCAGCAAAGATGCACAACTATAACTATGGTGGTAACTTACAGGAAAACCCGGGTGGCCCCGGCCTCATGCATGGACAGACCTGGACTTCTCCTGCCCAAGGACCTGGATATTCACAAGGATACAGGGGACACATTAGCACATCAGCTGGCAGAGGTCGAGGCAGAGGGTTACCATACTGAGTATCTGTTTTTCCTCAGGCACATCATTTTTATCTGGAAAGACTTTTCTAGCTGCAATTTAAGGCAGCAATCCAAGAGACTTGAATAATATTAATTCAACAACAGCTTTATTTTTATGTGGAAAAGGGTCTTGCATACAATAGTTAAAAAAAAAAGAAAAAAAAACCTTTGCTTAAATTCATGCTGTTCTAAAAACTAGATCTATTGATTGTACATCTTCACAAATTCTAGTTAACAATTTTATTTTGTATTCTTGCAGTTTTACGTGGATGCTAATCTTAGGGACATAAGAGTCTTTTATGGCCCTCTTGCAGATCTTCTGAACTATGCACATTTGTGCTTTTTTTGTAAGTTTGGACCAACTTTTATGTAACAACCAACCAACCCCTCCCCCCCTCCAGTTTTACAACAATCAGAAAGGGCACTGATTTATTTGGTATTTTTCTTTTTACAAAGCTACCTTTAGTCAAAGGTCACTGTCAGTCTTTGCACCTGCTTCCAGTGTTATTGTGAAAGGTGTACTTTGTGCTCACTTCAGAAAATAAAACACAACCTTTCTCTTGATGCAACAGTTTTATAAAAAAAAAATGGTCAACGTTATTTTTGTTTTATTTTGCAGATTATCATAGCCGAGCAAAATGCATTCAAATGAAATAGTGGGTTTTATATGAAAAATATGGGGTGGGGAGGGTAAGTAAGTGCCTTAACAGGTAAGCTGAAGGTCTGAAAAAGCAGTTAACCTTTACACCCATTTTGTCTTCTAAAGGGAATCAATACTGTATTGAAGAGGCAGGGAGCTCTCCAGTGTTTAGGGACTGCTGCCTGTTCAGTTCCCGCTAGACTCATTCCCTCTGCCTGTCACACTTTCTTCTTTCCTGCCTGTCTTTGGGCTATGTTACCTTCCACTACCACCTTGTCTTGCTAGGAGCGTGAGAGCAAAGAAAGGGATTAGAACTCCAGTCAGTATCTTGTTACTTCCAAGAAGTTCTAAAAAGTTACATCATTTAAGTGGTTGAAAGTAATAGCTAAATGAGAATTTTAGAGTACCCGTTTTCAGGCTGCCATATTGTCCCTGTTTTCCTTTTGCCATGGATAATTGGAGGGCAGTAGTGCAGAAGCAAGGCTTAATAAACAGAATTGCCTGATTCTATTAAAGTTCATAGGGGGAGGGGAGGCAGACATCGTATTTTAAGTTACGCAATTGCCATTTTAAGAAAAAGCCGTTCAGTTTGTTAACTAGAAACTTTGCCTACACTGAATTTATTGAAACAAAAAGAAAAAGTAGTGAGAGAAAACCTCTTCTCTTCCTTCCTCTCACCTTCTGTGAGGTTTATTAGGACTTCTGCCAGACTTAGAGCAACCTTAGTTCATTTTAGCATTTTTCTCTTTTATTAAAAGCAGCAAAGAAGGATGGACTAACCCTATGTAAGCTGTAATGGTGTCAAGTCTAACTAACTTCTCGTGCACGCTCAGGCACACGTACAATTACAATAAATTCTCAAAAGGAACCAAAGGTGAATAACCAGTGTTTCCAGTATCCCTGAATGGAAAAATAAACTCTGGAAATGAGAGCTGTGCCAATTAACCATTTTGTTTTAACTGTTCTTTCTCCTGGTAACTTACTTTTTCATTGGAATTGTAAATCGGAAGAACTGTTTTAGAATGGAAATTTGCTCCAGTTCTAAAGTCAGTCTTTTAACCCCATGCCCTCTGACTTGTGAACCTTCATTTCAAAATACTATATGGGAAGCATTACAGTTTGGTGACAGCAAGGATATTTTAAAGTGGATATTTTACCATTTTACTGCTATAAAATGAGTTGATGTCAGTTGATCATTTTATTTTTTTGATGGAATTTTTTTTTGTCATTGGGGAGAAAAATGAATGGAAGAACAATTACTTTGCTTTTATTTGAATTTTGAGTACTAACAACTTAAAAGTACATTGCAGGAGGTGAAGAAATACTTCAAATTTAGCAAAATAGCTACAGTATTCAACTATCTCAAATTTTAATATGGTGAGTCTTAGCGCTTTAGACTTTCCTATAAGTGACAGTATCTTAAGTTATTCTTAATAGTCACACTTGATAATTCTGCTGACCATAGCAGCTAACCGAAAATTGAAGATATTTATGTGACATGAATAGCCTGTGTTTTAAAAATTAAATATTTTATATAAAATTGAACTGTGTTTGGATAGTTTTTCCAACATTTCAGTTATATATTTATGTTGGGAGAGTGGCTGGGAGGACAGGGAAGTTGTTGCTTGAAATTGGAAATTTGAACTACAGCTTATAATATTACCCTTTGACAGTATTAATTGTGAAATATACCAGTATCTTACGCACCACTTAGAAAAAATCTTGCCGGTTAAACCACAACATAATGCCCAGATGCAGTAATTGTAAGATACTTCCCAAATTCATAGATGTTATTATATGAAACAGTCGGTGAAATACGGTAATAAAAATCTCAATGCATCCTTCCATACCATTTAATACTTTAGTAAATCCGGATTAATAAAAAGAGCGGGGATGGAAATCACTAATTACATAGGTTATAATTGCAGTAATCACGAGTATTCTTGAGTAAAGTCTAAGGACCATAAAACGTTACTTAAGTTTTGGGGAAAGAAACAGGTAAGTCAGATTGCAAATATGAAGATGAAAATAAAAGACTGACCTACCAAAAGAAGAAAACTTCTTATCTCCCATGTGAAATTCCCATTTATATTTCCTGACGCGGCAAGTTTTTCTGCATGCAACTCAAAAGTCTTCAGTCTGTTCTTTGTGGAAGAATTGTAGTCACCCATGAAATTTTTAAGACTCGTTTTAAGAGGTTTGTTGATGAAAATGGTTTGTGGAATGTGAATTAAGATAATGCTTTGGCTGTGATTCAGGGCTTCATTCTGTCAGTGAGTATATATATTCAGTGCCTTGGGCTACGTCAGTTAACTTGTGAACGGCATTCAGTCACACTTCCAGTGGGCTGATAAGATTTTAAAAAGGGTCTGGAGAAGCTAGTAGTATTTGCTACTCTCAGCTGTATGTATCTACATTACTCTTAAGTGAATGTAAGAAGTGACCATGTGCGTGTGCAGTTTTAAAGTGGAAACTGAATAAAGAAATAACATTCTGGAACAAAATAGAACAACTGGAAACTCTATGATGAAAACAAATTTTAAGTTGCATCTGGCCAATTTGTAATAGGCCAATTTGTAGGAAATATCAGGATTTCTTAAGAAAAGTGGAAGGTAAATGGGTTAAGTGCTTCCAAACTACTCTCACTGGAACTTGCGAGTCAAAGTTTTGCCGTGTTTGCTAGGAGCTTAATCATATTTTACACAACTTTTCACCATAGTCCCTCCCCCCACCTTTTGTTAAAATAAACTTGAAATACGAGTTCTGAATGAAAATCTACTGATCCTCTGGGATACTGGTTTTGAGATTTTTAAAGTCTGAACAGGACATTCCTTCCAATATTCTAATCATCTGGTCTGTCCCCTCACTTTTACAGCCTAAGAGAAATGAGATGTAGAGATGGATTTCCAGGGCAGTTCCTCTAAGCCACATCTAAATTCTGCAGAAAACACTTAACTTTTTTAAAAAATTGACTTAAAATAGTTACCAATGTTGGGGCCAGACTGACAGAAGCCTGCTTGGGATTCTCTCTTGCCCCTCCCCTGCTCACGCATGTGCACACTCACTCTCTCAAACTTAAAAAAAAAAAAAAAATTACCAGTGTTACAGTGAAGTACAATAATTAAATTTAGAATACTGAACAACTACCTTAACAAATGGTTTTAAAAAGTCAACTTATAAAACGACTCAAAAAATAGACTAAAACAAAACTTCAGAAAAACTTCATTAGAAGCCTATACAGGATGGATAGTTCTTCAAAAGGAGGCTCCTCGTTTTTTTTGGTTTGTTTTTTGTTTGTTTCTTTTTAACAACAGTAGTTTTTAAATAACGATTAGGTAGTGAACTGAATCATTTACATTTGTTTTCTCTTTAGAGGAGGAAAATCTATGCTAGCAGGCCTGCAAACATTACTTTTAAAATCTTTCAAGGGTTTATAATTTCCAGTGGTGTCATGAGGGAGCAACGGTTTGTCATTTACCAAAGCCTCTCCAGGTAATTTCTCAAGCTGCTTTTAATTTAATTAAAAATAAAAGCTATTAAATTAATAAGCTATCAAGGGATCCACTTGAAGACGGAGAAAACAAAATTTTGACCATAACAGAACTTTGTCTTTAAATTGTGTAGACTGACAAATTTTGTGGGTCTTACCCTCTTCATCACGTCAAAACAATTCCTAGTTGTAGTTGCATTCAAAATGAGGCCCTGTAAGTGAATCACCCCTTGGTTTTCTTTGACAGCTAGTTTGTTGTAAAGGTGTTGTACTTTTTTGCAAGAACTTTTAGTAAAGTCTTGTAACTGTTTAATGTGTTTAATAGAAGCCATTTGTTTAAAAATAAATAAATAAAGGCTGCATCCGATAGTCTGTAAATAAACTGCCATAAGAATTCGAGGCCATTTTTAGCCTTGTTTTATTCTTGCTTATATCCAGTACAGACTTCCAGGAATAATCTTAATAAATAATATGAAAAAGATGACCACTTATTATCCATTGTGCCGTGTTTTATTGACAAAACCTAAAACCCGGAATACTTACTTTGTCCTTTTTAGACTGGTACATATTTGAAAATGTAGGAACACCTCCAAAGATAACCGTTAATAATTAGACTTTGATGGATGTATATAAATGCGTATCTAATCTTTTTCTTAAAACAATGGGTTTATGTTACCCGTAACTTTGTAGTTTATTTTTTTCATTTAATAATACATTGTGAACATCCTGCTATGCCAATAATTAAATTCTACCCTCTTTTTAATGGTTGTTAAGTTATTCCCTTATAAAAAGAAGAACCGTAGCTTCCAATTTCCTTATTGCTGGACACAAAATATTTCTAACCCTTCTGTTATAAATAACTGTGATGAA